GGACCTTCTCCTACTCCGCTCCTGTTTCCTGGAATATCTTGTAAAAACATCTGAAGCTCTCGACCTTTGACCTCTCTAAGTGGCTTCAAACATCTGATAAGTTCCTGCAGCTGTTCCTGTTTTTATTATTTTATATCACTTTATAATCTAGCTGTTTTTGTTACATTTTAATACAGTTTTCTTTCATTTATTATTTTCCATTTGTACACATCCTTTATGTTTGTCTGTTGTTGTCGTCATTGTTTGTTGAGACCAGGTCTCTCTGTAAATGAGTCCTCGAGGCTCAGTGAGACTCACCTGTAGAAGTAAAGGTTGAATGAAAAACCAAACAGAAGGTCTCAGGTCTAGTTTGGTCTGCACTCAAAGTACACTGCAGGTAATTATGTCCTGAGAGCGCACGCTGTAGCTTCAAGCACTGTGTTCATGAGGGGAAGAGGGTAACGGCTCTTTAATGTGATTTTCTTGAATCCTCTATAATCAATATTTTTCTAATTTTATTTTCTTCTCTTTCCTGATATGGAGTGAACGGCAGATGTTTTGTCAAAAAAATGCTGACAGACTGGAGACACCACTTTTATGGCATCACTTAACGACTAGTGTAAAAAGTAAACAGGAAGAAGGCGACAGATGTGATAATCGTATTATTTGTTCAAGTTTCACTTCAACTTTCTTTCATCGCTGCAGTTCCTCAGTGAATAAAGAGAAAGTCTAGATTAATCTCATCGTTGTATTTTCAGTTGGTTTCTCGTGCATCTTTGTGTCCGTGCACCTCGTGCGTGTTATAGTTGGACAATAAGTGAAGTTGTACGTTTGACCTTCTCCGGTCCGACGGCAGCTGCAGAACAGAGAGCAGTCTTCCTGTTGAGACGTTCACACAAGACAAGTGCTGTGGGCAGGATGGCAGAACTCATTTAAGATGTACAACCAGGAAGACTCTTCCTTTGTGGGAACATTAGACGGCTTTGCCCTCAGGAGCCCTCACCGTGTTTCTGTCTGCAGTCTGTCCAAGCGTGTGCTCTTTAGAGGAGACATAATGCTCTTCACTTCATACTTTTCAATTATTCATCATTTCTTGAGTTCATTTTAGGAAGTGGAGAGAAGAGGATCAGAGCTGAGCAGGAAATGATGTTCAGTGGGAGAATGGGCTGATGATCATCAGAAGATGAAGTCGTTTGTTGAGATCAGATACGAGGAGAATCCTCTAAACACGGCTGACATTAAAGCTCCTTCCTGTTAATATGTGATTAGACACTGAAGTAAATCATTCATTCCAACGTCTCCGACTGCTGGGAGCAGCTGCGATGAATCATGAATCAGAGCTCGCAGAAACGTTCTGCAGTCGAGCAGCTGAAGACACGAAGGAGAGGCGGCACATTCTTAAAAGTGGAGGTGAAGAAGGGAAGAAAGTGGATTTCAGCAGGTAAACGAGTGCAGTCAGTGAGAAAAGTGACGGCACGAGACGAGTGAGACGACGGTGCGCAGGTTCTTCTCACGTTCAGTTCGTGCTGGAGGAGCGACTGGTTGGGTGAAGCCACTTCCATCTGCGTCTGCAGCTTAATGCACTTCCCTTAAATATTTCAAGATCTTCCTCTTTGACTGTGCACGGCCGAGCACGAGCTCTGGGCCCACAGCGCCGCCGCCACTCACACCTTCTAGAGAGTTGATGTCTCCGAGTGCGAGACACTTATTGACGAGCGACATCAATCAGACACGACGTACAGGAGGCGGGCCGGATGTACGAGGAATTTAAGGCCGGCGCATAGTTTTTATTTTTTGTTGAATTCATTAATAATTCATGAGAAGAGGTGGAAGACGCTCTGCAGCAGCAGCGCTGATGATGCAACGACACGGAGACCTGCTCCTCACTGCTTCTACTCAGACACATCTTCTAGGCATATTCAAAACACACACACACATATACACACACACTCACACACACATATACACACACACTCACATATACACACACACACACACACACACACACATATACACACACACACATATACACACTCACACACTCACCATATACACACTCACACACTCACATATACACACACATATACACACACATATACACACACACTCACACACACATATACACACACACACACATATACACACACACACATATACACACTCACACACTCACCATATACACACTCACACACTCACATATACACACACATATACACACATATACACACACACACACACACACACACACTCACATATACACACACACATACACACATATACACACACACACACACACACACACACACACACACACTCACATATACACACACGCACAACAAATCTCGTTGGCATAAAAAGCCTGACAACAATCCCAAGTTGGTGCCCGACAACGATCCTGAAATTCACGAGACGTTATGGAAGCGAAGACTCGTGCTCGTCCCTCGTGCACGAGTCCGATGAGTCGTGCTCGTCCCTCGTGCACGGGTCCGATGTCTCTTGCTCGTCCCTCGTGCACGGGTCCGATGACTCATGCTCGTCCCTCATGCACAGGTCCGATGAGTCGTGCTCGTCCCTCGT